GAGAGAAAGAGAGAGTGAGAGAAGCATGGGGGAATACACGAGCGACGAGACGAGACCGGATGAGATGAGATGATAGTGTTGCATGTAGCGCGTGCGCGTACCGACTCAATAAACATCCGTGGAAGCTTCGGTAAGACCCGGGCCGCGCTCTGGATTACCGGCGCTACTTTCCTTTATTTTTCCGGATGCAATGCCCACACCCCTTTCACTCTCTTTCTCTCATCCCCACCTCTCTCTTTCTCTCTCTTCTCCCTTTTCCTTCTGTCGTCTTCGTCGCGTTTCTTCTATGATTGTCTTTTACCCGCCCGTCATCGTCCTATGTTTCTCTCTTTCACCTGTGCACCATATTACCAGTTCTCTTTTCTGTTCATATACGCCGCTGCATTTTCCCCTTCTCTCTCTCTCTCTCTCTATTTTTTTTTGTCTCTTTCTCTTTTTCTCTTCTTTCTTCCTTTTTTTCTTTCACTTTCGACCTATCTCCACTCGCGATTCCCTACTTTTTAACGGAACGAACGGAGACCCGTCACTTCCCCTCTCCAAGTTGTTACCCACTCGACTGAAATGGAAACTGTTCCGGTGTCCTATTCCCGGCTCCCGTCCTCGCGAAACCAAGCTTTCGGGTAATCCACTGATTTGTCCAGTAATCACGAGTTACCGTCGATTTGATACCGTCGGGGGGTCGCCAAATCGCAAGTCGCCAGTCTCAAAACGCCAACGTCGCGTTACTAAATAGCCGCGGACGCTTGTATGTCTAACAGTTACATGTAGTGTAGGCAGTTAAGAGCTTCATGGCGTTTAATGAAAATACTTAACAAAGAAAATCCTAATATAAATATCCATCTTGATGTCTTGTCATACATATATTTTATTATGTTAGAAATTTAAATCTTCGTATATTTAAAGACTAAAATAATAAGAATATCCAGGATCAGGCACGTTTCCGGGCATTGGTGCTTTTACCTCACACTTAAAATATCATGCAAAGTGACATTCACAGTAAATTTTCCAATTATGATCCTACTTCACATTGATTCTGAACCTCTCATCGTTACAATATTTAATATTCGGCATTAATCCCCCTTAAAGTACTAATTCGATGAAAAAGTTTAGAGAATTGAACTCAGTGAATTTGGGGCGACGTCTCGTTGAAGTCCGTGATATTAATCGCGAAATGTATATAGGTGCGCGCGCTAGGTGGGGCGATTTCCCTTCGGCGCGCGAAGCCGATAATCGATGAATCGAACCGCGTTTAATCATTCTTTCGAGCAGCGAGCGAGCGAGCGCAGGCGGTTTTTAGCGCGAGCGACGCCCGCCGGGCGAAAGACAACGAAGAGTGCCGCCTAAAACCGATAATTGGCGACCGAGATTAACGTTTCTGTTGTCTCTGACGACGGAATAATGTGTACACTCGTACCGGGCCGCTCGCTCTGCCATCGGCTCTGCCGTGTGACTGCCATTAAAATCTCGGAAAGCAGCGAGAGCGAAGCACCGAGAGCGGCCGAGCTCCCGGCAGATAGGTACATAAAACCGCTTTTACGGTGGAGAGATTAGCCGGCGGATTTCGGCGCGATCGCGGCGATTACGCGCCTTATAATATTTTAGTACTGACGATTAAAGGATTGGCTTCGCAGCTGATTCGAGGCGCCTTTTTGCGGTGTACCCCGCAAGCGCCGAGCGATCGTGACTGACGTTCGATGCGAGCTGTCAAGATGATTCGAATCGGATTTTGAGTTATCGTGAATAACAGATGAAGACGCGAGTCGCCTGATGCTTGAAAACAGACAATAATTGGTTTGAAATGTACGAAGCGCCAGATATTATCCGTCAGAGACCAGATTGAAGCTCTACTTTGTTGCCGCTTTCCGTTGTTTGTCTACATTCGTTGTATGTAGAGAATAAGAATGCTTATAATAATGGACAAATATTCAAATATTTGTAAACTCCATAATTAACAGTCAAAGAATACGAGAAATTAGGCCTATGAGAGCCAAGAGCTGTATTGATGTGCGGGTAAATTAATTAATATTCGGTATTAGTAGCTTACAATTATATTAATCGAGATGCCACATCATAGAATTAGACGAGCTCTCATTAATAATGGTCAATGACGACGAAAAAAATAGAAAATAGATATAAGCGATAGGTCAATGCCAAAATTTAAGGTTTTACATTCTAAGTAAAATAAATTTCAAATGAGATAAATTCTGGAAATAGGATGTCTTAAATAGATATCATAATTCCGATAAGGAGTTTATTCACCAAGTGTATATTTTCAGAACGTCTAAAGAACGTATTTTTAGTGGTGTATCAAGGGGAAAATCTACAAAATAGGTTTCTTATCGAATAAAATAGGTTTTTATGTATTTATTTTACCACCTAAATAATCAATGTTAATTTCATGATATTATCTTGCCACATTTCACTCAGTACAATGCTAAAACATAAAACAACTGTTTTCTGACCTATACTTGATCATTGCGTAATAAGGGTGCATTGAATACTATTCTTTTTCTACGCCGCGTTCTCTAATATGTAACATTTATCAAAGTAAATCTTTTTATTTAGGTGGAGTACAATTCTCACAAATTTGTACTGGAATAATACTGAAATTACTTACAGTGAGTGTAAAAAGTATTCGTACACCAGAGATTGTCGTGACAAAAGCTTGGTGTACGAATACTTTTTACATTCACTATATCTTCTATTACATAAGATTGTATGTGCGAAATGCGATATTAAATTTCTCATGAACAGTGCAGGAAAACTGCATAAGACTTTAACTATGAATGTATTTTTCTGCAACAAATGTTTGGTTAAATTTTTGTATAATTTTCAGCATTTTGATTAAAATAAATAAACTCCTTACATCTACTTGCGCAATAACCGTCATAAAAAGATTAATTATTTATTTTGTTATATCACGGCTATCGATTTACGTTATTACTTGATTTTCCTTCATTACTCAAAAGGGTACAAAAAGGAGTACGAAACAAGATGGAAAATGATAGATGCTGATAAGGCTGCCTTAGGGAAATATCGCCGTTCTCGGCAGCTAATAAAAAGCGCGAGCAAAAGTGCTCGAACGCGAAGCAAGGATGTTCATGATGATGAGTGGTGAAGGAGGCGTAAAGAAGCGGAGGAATAGGTACCCGAGAATGTGAAGTAGGGTGATTTTGCCGAGGCCTCTAAGCGGCGGGATTAAGTGCTACGTAAATTCTACCACCGGCGCGCTCTCCTCATGCACTCTTTCTTTCTTTCTCGTACGGATAAAGAATCGCCGTTGCTCGGTTAGACGCATCGTCGGCGGAGGAAAAGTGAAAGTCCGCTCGTGGACGCAAAAGGATTGCAGACGGGATTATAGGACTCACGGTAAGGCGGAAGGAGATACTTCGCGCCACTGACTTTTCCGTCAGGTCGTTACTTTATCGTAATGAACAAGGCATTGTTAATTATGAAAATTGTTACTCGCTCCGTCGCGACAGTCTCTGTCGCAAAATGATAACAGTCGTCACTTCATTCAGGACAATTTATAAAAAGAGAGTTGGGGAATATAGATGTATACGTGATAATACTCGCGGAAATAAACGAAACTCGTTTCGTCTGATGCAGGTTGAAAGACTCATCTTTCTAGAGATGGAAATATATATAATTTTATATATGTGATAACATATATATAACTCTTGTCTTATATAAATGTAGAAAACAAAAGAAAAAATACATAACATTATATAAATAATAAAGATACTGTGGCGAAAATGAAGGAATTCCTGCCACTCTCTATATATTCAATGACACTCTCATTAAAGTCGACTGATTAAGTATAGCAATACTTTTCCCGATGAGTTTTTGTAACTCATTCCGTATCCAACTTATCTCTTGAGAATTACCAAAAAAATAAATTCTCCTATTGGACACAAGATACGTTACGAAACTCATCAAGTAAAAGTGTTGCAACCTTTAATCAGCCGACTGTACACTTTTCCGGAATTATGGAAGAATGTAGTGAGAGTGCTACTAAATATACGAAGAATGTTTTTTTTCGCTAAGATATAATAATCAAAATCAAAATTAGACACATTGCATGGCGATACAGTTAATCTATACTTCAAGAAGATATATAAAAATAATGGCAAATCTGTACATGTGTATGCAAGTGCACGCGTGTGCGTTTCTTTCCGTAATATATCAGAAATATATTGGGTGTGTAATAATTCCAAATTTTTCAGATAAAATAAAACGACTATATTTTTAAATACTTATAATTTTATGAAACAATATATATATATATATATATATATATATATATATATATATATATATATAT